GCGAACCCCGGATCCAAAGGGTCAATTGTTCGATCCTTCGTGGTACGCCCGTTGCCAACACCCCCCTCTGGCCACGCCACGATTCGCACCAGCGCCACCTGCGAACTAGCCATTCCTGATCATTCCTGGGCGGCGCCCGCGCGACTCGCGACGTGACTGGCCCCCGCCCCTCCCTTCCCCCGGCCCCTCTCCGGTCACGCTCGTTATCGCCAGGAGATAGAAAAAAACAAACTGTCTCCCATGACTCCTCGCACTCGTCGGCAACTCCCAAGGGTGTGGCTTGCACAGGGTGCGGTGCGGTTTGCCAACCCGCACCCTGGGAGGCGTGCGAGGACCGCGACCGAGTTCTCCGACGCGCCCCGAGGAACCCCGACGAGGGCAACGTTGTGCCCCCGACGACGCAGATCAGGTCGCAAACCACACCCCAGCGTAGTAACCACACGCTTTGTTCGGCGGCGAGCGAGGGGGGGCAGTAAGAAGGAGCAAGCCTTGCCAGAAGGCGGCGGGACCTCTCAGAGGCCTTCGCGCCTTCGGAACAGCTTTTCTGTGTCCTCGGGGCAGGCGCATGAAACTCTTCAGAAGGCCTCGGGATTTCCGAGTCTTCTGACAATCGGCCCCCACGGACCCGCAGAGAAGGCGTATGAAGCAAAAACGTCTTACGAAGCTAGTTCAAATGATGTTGGCTGGCCGGGCGGCTATGTCGAGTAGGACCTGTTGTGAGCCAAACGCCAGCCATGGCCTTGTCACAAAGCCTTCCCCTTCTCACTTCCCCCCCGGGGCTCGCCGCCGACTTGCAGCCGCCGGGCCCTCCCGCCGACCCCCCGAGCTCCTCCCAGCCCGCGCACGCCGCAGAGGCGCAGCGAGCGCACCCCGGGGCACGCGCGCAGCAGCGCGGCCACCGCGCGCCAGCAGGCCTCGCCCCGCGGCGGGCCGCCGCCGGCCGCGGCGGGCAGCCGCAGCTCCCGCAGCGCCGCGCCCAGCGCCGCGCGGCTGCCGCGGGACGCGCCGCGGTAGGCGAGGCACCCGCTCTGGCCGCACAGCGCGGCGGCCGGCGCGAGCAGCTGCTCATCCATGGGCACGGCCGGCGGCCCAGCGGCTTCGGTGGCAACTCCAGGGAGCCTCCCATACCATCTTGTCGGCTCTTGCGAATCGACGCTAAATCGACGCCAAATCGGCGCTATCTCATCCGCTCCCCGACTCCAATCGACGCTGAAGACGGAATTAACTGGGTACGCCAGGCTCCCCCGATTTGCTACCGAAGGCGGCACGGCGGGCGGCCGCGGCGCGCAGGGGCCGGCCGGCTGCGCAGCCCGCGCGCGGCGGCTGCGGCGCAGGCTGGCGGGAGGCGGGCGGCGGGCACGGTGCGCGGCAGTCTGAGCGGCTGAACTTTTGCAATGTTTGATGGATGATTCTTGAGGCAGGGCTCGAGCTAAAGAGTGCTCTCCGTTTTCGTGTTGCGTTCGTTCTCCCTCGTTCTGTCTTCGTTCCGTCTTTGCTGCAGAACGAAACCAAAGCTCGCGCCCTGTTGGGGGGGAGGGCTCGCTGGCCGCCACCGGCTCAGCCAGACGGCTCTGGACGGCCTCCAAGACGGCCCAAGAGGGCCTCAAGATGGCCCCAAGACGGCGTACGACTGCCCAGATGTCCCCCTAATGGCCCAAAATAGCCTCAAGATGGCCCTCGAGACCCCCAAGACGGCCCACGATGGCCCCAAGGCGGCTCCATATGGCCTCAAGACACGGTATCCAAGATATCCTGACGTTAAGCGAGCGACTAACGGGCGCTTTTCTTGGCTTACACGTCTACGGCTAAAAATCTTGCAGGTGAGTTGGTCCTGGCGGTGTGTTCTTACCTGCAGTCACTCTGCCATTGTACAGTACATGCGCTCGATGTGTCTCACTAGTGTTGCCGTCGAGCCTTGTCGCTCTTAGCATAAGCCACGTTGACACATCCTGAACACTCACTGTTGTGGGCCCCAAAGGCTAACCCTGACCGCTAGGTCTCCATTCTATTCGACACTTTCTGCACGGCGGGCATGGGCATCTCCACGCTGGACAACGGTTGGAATGTGTTATACATCTGGTTAAGGTACCATAACATCGCGACTTTCGCGCTGAAGATCATCAGAGGCGAGGACGGGACCAACTGCAAGGTGGATCACCCCGAAGTCTGGGCACGAATAGGAAGGAGTTCTTGGACTTGGTGGAGGAACGCCTCGTGCTCCCGGGCGCTATGGACGTAGGCCACCCTGGGAAGACGGGGCACGACGACATTCCTGGTATGACGAAGGTCAGGCCCCCGGAGTGCCCATGGGCGAAGGCCCCCCTGGCCCACCTCGCGGGTATGTAGGCGCGCTGACGAAAGTATGATTTGTTGGACATGCGTCTGTCTTGCCCGCGACATCAAGCGTGGGCCTCGGGCGCAACACTGTCCACAACCCCCAAAGAGAACACCGAGATGGCCGAAGAGGCCTCCAATACGACCCCCAAGAGGCACCAAGACGGATCCCAAGCGGCCCAGGAGGGCCTCAGAAATTGCCCACCAGAGGCCCCCAAGAAGGCCTCCGAAGGCGCCCGACGGGCCCAGGGCGCCCTTGGACGGCCCAAGAATCTCCCAAGATGCCCCCTTGGGGTCCCCTTGGGGGCCTCCCTGAGCCTTCTTAGGGCGACGAAATCTGGGGCCGGACCCTCTTGAGGCCTCCCTAAACGCCCCCTGGGGGCACTCCTGAACCCTCTTTGGAGGGCATCTTGAGGCCCCCCTGAACCCCATGCGGTCAACCCTCATAATAAGGACGCGCGATGCGGATGCGAGGGCCTTGGAAGGCCATGTCGACACTCTGCGAGCGGGGCGCGGCCAGCGAAGGCGGCCAAGGACTCAGGTGGGCCCTGAGATGCCCCCTAGAGGCTCCCAAGAGGACCCCCGGAGGCACCCAGGAGGCTCTCACGAGGCCCTTCCCCAGGCGGGCTCCCAGGCGGCCCTCCCGACCCCACGAAGACCACACCGCTGAGCCAGCCTCTCGGGGCATCTTAGAGCCCCGCTTGGGGCAACTTAGGGCCCCTTGAACCCCCAGCAGGGGGCCCCGAGAGGCCCCCAAGAGGCCTTCGAGAGGACCCGAGAGGCACCCAGGAGGCTCTCCTCACGAGGCCTCCCGGGCGGGCTCCCAGGCAGCACCCCCGACCCCACGAAGGCCACACCGCCGGGCCAGCCACTTGGGGCATCTCAGGGCCCCCATGCACTAAGGGTTTCAGCAGGGGGCCCTAAGAGGCCCCCACGATGCCCCCAAAGAGAACCCGAGAGGCACGCGGGAGGCTCTCAGCAGGCCCCCCCCCCTGGCGAGCTCCCAGGGCCCCCCCCTCGACCCCGAGAAGACGACCTCGCCAGGCCAGCTGCCCAAAGGGGGGCCCCCAAGGGGCCCCGAAGGCTTTGGGGCCCCCAAGGGGCCCTTAGGGCCCCCAAGGCGGGCAAGCAGTCCGACCGAGACCATGCTCGGCCCAGGAGTGGGGCACGAGCGAAGTAGATCTCGAGCAAATTGTGCAATGACGCCTCTGGCCAGTCTGGCTCATAGAAGTGGTGCGAAAATCTGCGCAAGCAGTCGCCCCATCTCATAAGGCTCCCAGGCGCCTCCCCCCCACAGACCCCCGAGAAAAGCCCACCCCGCCGGGCCCGCCTCGCTCGAAGAGGGGGCCCAGCGTGGCCCCCCGCCCCCACCTGCGGACTCCAGGAGGCGCGCAGCTCCTGCGGGCCGCCCTTGAACCTCCTCGAGGAGCATCGGAAAGGAGCCAGGGAATGGCCGAAATCACCCTGAACCCCCTTCGGGCGACGAAATATCGCGCGCTCTCTCTCTCTCTCTCTATATATATATATATACACCATACATGTGTGTATGTATGTATGCATGTCTGTCTGTCTGTCTGTCTGTCTGTCTGTCTGTCTGTCTGGCTGGCTGGCTGGCTGGCTGGCTGGCTGGCTGGCTGTATGTATGTATATATGTATGTATGTATGTATGTATGTATGTATGTATGCATGCATGCATGCATGCTGCATGTATGTATGTATGTATGTATGCATGCATGCATGCATGCATGCATGCATGCATGCATGCATGCATGCATGCATGCATGCATGTATGTGTATATATACATATATGTGTATATGTATATGTATATGTATATCTACATATATATATATACATGTATGTATGTGTGTATGTCTGTCTGTCTGTCTGTCTGTCTGTCCGTCCGTCCGTCCGTCCGTCCGTCCGTCCGTCCGTCCGTCCGTCTGTCTGTGTCTGTCTGTCTGTAGGGATGTAGGTAGGTAGGTATCCATTGCTCCCTGGCCAGGCCAATCCTGAACCCAGCAGCGGTGCCTGCGCCACTCCCTCTTGGGCTTGGCCAGGAGGGCGTGCACGCGGCCCCTGGGCCCCGGCCGGGCCTGGCCGGGGCGCAGGGCACGTGCATGGAGACTTCGTCGCCCGACCCCGGCGCGCTCCGCACCGCAGGCGCTCAGCAGGCGGACCGCGGGCCCCCCCCGCCTGGGCAGCGGGCGCGGTGCGAGGCCCGAGGCCCCCGCCGCCGGCAGCCGCGGGGCTCGACGGAGAGGCACGGCCGGCCCGTGTCATCGGGATGCGTGGCAAGGATGCCAAGGGCCCCGGAGGGCCATGTCGAGACTTTTCGAGCGCGGCGCGGCGGACGAAGGTGGCCCAGGATGGGCCGAGGAGGCAGGGATGCAAGGGCAGCCTTGGGAAGGTCGCCTATCCTTACCATGCGGGCGGACTGCGGGACTCGAAGCACGGGGGGGGGCTCGAGTAAAGATGCGCTGCGAACAAACTCCAGAGGGGCGCGCGGACGGTGGACAAGCTGCCATGGGATGCAGAAGGACATACCAGTACTACGTGTCCTCCTCGGAGGCGTGCGTCGGACCCGAACATCTCGTAGAACGATCTTGTAGTATACTGTTTCCCGAGCGGTACGGCCAGAAAGCGCCCACTACGACGCATGTACCCCAAGATTTCTCGGTGCGCGCGTCGCCCCTGGGCGGGCGACGCACACCTCGTATTAGTATGTTGGGGTGCCACCGATACCAATGGGAAGCCGAGGGACACCCCCATCGTGTCGACAGAGCAAAGACATGCACTCGGGATCCAAAAACCTTCGCGACCGAGGAGCTTCTGATGCACTGGCGGTCAGCAGTGACCGTGTGCACTCTATATTATACGCTGTTTCCATGTAAGAAGCTGGTGGTGCTCTGCATCGCAGCGCAATGGGACTGAATCGATTAAATATCATTCGTGCACAGTACATCGGTGACGAAGCATTCGAAGTAAGATGTGCGAATACACTGGTGGGATCAATTTTCTAATCTCCGCGCAATTTCTAGCGTCGAGATGAAATTCGCCGGGCCAACGGGCCAAGGGCGTGCTAAGATCTCTGGTAACTGGTTAACAATATTTCTAGTTCGCGCGCGCGGGGCCGCCCCTGGGGGTCTCCGGACGAAACGTACCCCTGCAAATCCCGGCAAAATCCCGGCAAAATCCCGGGCAGGTCCCGCGCAGGTCCCGGGCAGGTCCCGGCCAGGTCCCGGCAGGCTCCCAAGAGCGCTCCAGGAGCGCTTCAAGTGGCCTTCAAGAGAGCTCAACATGGTCCGAGACGATCCAAGAGCGATCCAAGACGCCAGATATTGCCTCCAGACAGCCCAAAGCGCCTTCAAGACGCCCCAAGAGGCCTCCAAGAGACCTCCCAACAGGGCCCACAGCGGCAGAAATTAGCGATTTTCTTTTAGATTCTCGCCTTTCCGGCTTACCGGCGCTCCAAGACGGCCCAAGAGGCTTCCAAGACCGCCCCACGACGTCCCACGAAGCCTCCAAGAGGGCCCCAAGATGGCCAAAGATAGCCCCTAGACAGCCCAAGAGGCGCCCAAGACCGCCCAAGAAAGAACGGAAAAGTCCAGCTTTCAGCCCCAAGAGGCCCCCAGGAGGCCCCAAAAGGCCCCCAAGAGGCCCCAAGGGGCCCCCAAGAGGCACCCCAAGAAGCCCCGAGAGGCCCCCAAGAGGCCCCAAGATGCCCCAACACGGCCCCCAAGAGGCCTCAAAACTGCCTCCCAAAGGGTGCTGAGAGGCCAAGCACGAGAGCCCAACCAACATCCGTGAGGCCTCTGACCCGCCACCCACCGCCTCCGAAAAATGGCAGCCGCCCAACCGCACCGCATTGACAACAACACCCCGACATACGACAGCGGCGAGGCAATATGGGCCGGCGGAATGAGCGAAGCGATTGAATAACTACCGACGGTGGAACTACAAACTTGTGTCCGCAACGCGGCTGGTACATGATTCATGTGATGCCGTCTAAATCCGCCACCGTGCCTTCAGCACGTAGTGGAGTGCCCCAGGCTCATGCAAACCTGAAAGGTAAAGGATTTGTAAGGCCCCTCCAGGCCCAGACCCCTGGTTTGCCAAGCGCTCTTGGGCGCTCTTGGGCGCTACTACGCGCTACCAGGGTTTGTCGCATGGGCCTCTGAGACGATGACCCCGCCAAACAGGGGCCCAAATCGGGCGAAGGGGGCCCCAGGAAGCCCCCAGCAGGGTCCAAGAGGCCTCCGAGACAGCCCCCAAGAGCTTCCCAAGACGTCCAAGATGGCCCCAAGACGGCCCCAGAAGCTTTCGAGACGCCCATAGAGAGCCCCAGGAGCCTTCCCAAGAGGGCCCCGAGAGACCAACACATTGATTGTCCGTATGTGTTTCAATGCTGTATTGGTTCTCTAATTTTCTAGTTTCCGACGCCCCAAAACGTCCCAAGAGGTCCCCAAACCCGTCCCGAGACGGCCACAGAGGCCCCCCAAGAGTGCCCCAAGACGGCCCCAAGAGGCGCCCAAGAGGGGGAGCACGCACCGAAAATCCGAGCCTTCCACACCCAGAGGCGCCCAGGAGCCCCCAAGAGGCCCCCAAGAGGCCCCCAAGAGGCCCCAAGAGGCCCCCAAGAGTCTTCCCCACGAGGCCCCCAAACGGACCCCATAAGCCTCAAAACTACATCAAGGAGACCCCGAGAGGCCTCGACGAGATCCCAACGACCATCCATGGGGCCTCAGACCCACAAGCCAGGCACGGTGGCGTGATGGGCCGAAAGCCATTCGATATTCAGATAGCGAGTGGTGTCGAAGCTTATCGCCTGTCATGGAACGTAGAGACGCCCTCCGGCTCGCATAAATAGACGACGGCCACGGCAAAATAAGCAATGAGCATCACGGCACCGTAAAGCCAATGCGTCTGGCCGGACCACAAGACGCTGGCGACTGACATGATAGCCATGAACAGAACGCTCAACTGGAAAGCGTGAAAATCCAACGACATCGGCTTATCCAGAGCGTAACCGGCCAGGACGGCGAACGGAGATACAAGAAGCGCCATCTGGCATGATGAACCCACTGCTACTCCGAGTGCCAAGTCCATCTTGTCCTTAGAATGAGAAGAAGCAAAAAGCAACGACTCGATCGACCTTGACAGGTCTGACCCTGATAAGGGGAAGCGAACAGCGGGATCGACGCTCGCGCACCAGAGTCGGCAATCATCGCCCTAGAGGCTGCAAAAAGTCCCCCAACCTCAAGAATGCACGAAAGAAACGCATGAAAAAAGCCTCGCATAATGCAGGTCGAGCCTCCGTTTTGGATTTTTGCTGAGCGGTTGGGGTGATCAAGGTCGGCGATCGCACGATCGCCAGGCACTAGCTGAGATCTTAGCTTTCATTGCCACTGTAATCGCTGTGTAGTGCTCGGCTGCGTTGCCGATGATAGGCAAGAGGATGATGCCGATGAACTCTTTGGAGAGACCCAACTCCGATATTGTTCCCTGTAGGGCATCAATCAAGGCGTCTGTTGAACGGTCGCATGTGATTGTGCAGAAGATGAGGAGGATAGTCGCGGTCAACGGCGTCATATCTGGATCCCCTTCTTCCTCATCAGAGCCAAAGTCCTCCGCATTCGTACCCAGCTGGAATGTCAGGAAAAGGGCATAACCAATCAAAAGAAGTACGGATAAGCACACCGACATCTTCACCACGGACTCTTTCACGTGGGGGTCCACCTCGTGCATGTCCTTAGTGCTCGCGCTGTCCGACCTACTTTCAAGCTCTCTTCGGCCCTTTGCTGCTACGACAGGGTGCTCTACCTCGGGCCCGCCGGCCCGCCGCCAGCGCGGGGAGCGCGGGCGTCGTGGCGCTGCGTAGACTGAAGGACGAGGAGGAGGAGGAGGAGGAGGAGGAGGAGGAGGAGGAGGAGGAGAAGGAGAAGGAGGAGGAGGAGGAGGAGGAGGAGGAGGAGGAGGAGGAGGAGGAGGAGGAGGAGGAGGAGGATGAGGAAGCGGGGAGGAGAGGGTTATTGGAGGAGGAGAGGGGCGGAGGCGGAAGGAGTGCAGGAGGGTGGAGGAGTAAGGAGTGGAGTGGAGGCAATCGGACGTAGTCCGTTCGGAACCCAGAGACGCCAGGGGGGCCATCCAATATTTCTCGGAGGGCCGTGGGGGGCGACATCCCACGGCACACCGCGACAGGCCCCCCTGGCCTCACAATTTACTCGGAGGCAGCACCCGCCGCGTAGGAACCGATCGCGGCTTCGGCTGCCGAAACGTGCATAGCCTCTAGAACAGACTTGCTGGGACCCGATCTGGACGGGTGAAGGCCTCGCCTGATCCTGCTGAGGTTTTCGAGGCATTTGCCAGTGGGTCCCAGGGCCCTGCGCTCTCCCACTTGGTGGGAGAGAGGGCAAGGAAACTGTAGGCTTTTAACCTGGTGTGTGGCCGTATGGCCGCACTTCACACAGAAGAACATTTGCCACTTGGGGATGGTGGCCAACGTGTGGGAGGGGTGTATCGCCTTGCCACTGATGACACGGGGACCCCGCGACCACAGCACCTCGCCACACGCAGCAAACTCGGGAAGGGGGCAAGGCGGTACACACTCCGTGGCGGCAGCTGGAATAACGTGGCAAGCATCGACGATGATGAGGCAGGCAGAACATCGCCATTTATCTGCACACCGCTCGAATTTGTGCTGAGAAGCCGCGATCGCGGTCTGCAACATAGAACGAGGGGCTGCCTCCTGGGTGGGTTGCCTCTCTGGCCACAGTCCTCGAGGCTCTGAATTCTTGCCTAAGGAACGTAGGATCAGTCGTGCCCTCTGTCGGACAATGGCTGCGATAGCATCGTACTCATCGGTCCTGGGAACAGGCGGGAGGGCAAGGGTGGCCGACTTGTGGGCCGCGCTTCCCGCGAGCTCGTCGGCTTGCTGGTTGCCGAGAGCAAGAAATTTTTGGAAACCATGCAAAGTCTGGGGGTCGGCATGAGATGGGGTCCAGAGCACCGTGACCGAGGAGACGCCGCCAGGTCGATCCTGCACGAGGTGCCGAATTCTCAGCCAGAGATCCCCATTCTTATTCTTACCTCCAAGGCTGCCTGGCCTGAGACATCTGCCATTCTGCCAACCACGCTGCAAGGCTAGGTGATCTGCAACAAACGTGAAATCCTGCTGGCACGTCTCAAATGCCAGGCAAAACGCATATAATTCGCCTGTTGGGACGGTCTGGCGGGGGCCTGGGAGGGGGGCAAGGAGGCCTGCGTGGAGGGCCCAGGAGGCCGAGGGAGGGTCCCAACGGAGGGCCGCGAGGCCAGAAGCAACGCGACGTCGCCTGACGTCGTCAGAAAAGGCTCCGCCAGACCCGTCACCAAAAAGACACAACTCGCCCTCTGCATTACGAGCTCCTTCCCAAGACGGCAATCCCTCCCGCACCGCCCCAACAAACTCCCACCCGTCCCTCCCAATCAATGGCTCGAACGTGGGCGTGGTGAGAGCGACAGAGGGAATGCCACGGAGCCACAAGGCGGGGTCGGCATCGACCCCCGCCACGGCACGCGGCAGTAGCTTGTCACTGGCCTCAAACTCGGGTCCCACAGTCGCCTCGCACTGCCACATTCGGTGAACCAAGGTTTCAGGAACTCCAGCGCTGCATCGGTCGCAGTTCTTGTCGATCTGGTAGCCCGCGTTGTGGAGGCGGTCTCTGGTCCACTGTCCTCCGCTGATGATGGTGTTGTTGAGGGCCCAGTCGCTGAAGTCGCCGTTTGCGAGGAACCTCCTTTGTTCAATGCGGATAGTGACCATGTCTGCTCCTCCAGCAAGCGTGTCACCATGGGCGTGCGAAGCGGCCTGGGACCAGAGGAGCCTGTGTAAATCCTCGCTGAGGTCCTGCAATACTGTGTGAATGTCAGCGCCGAGGAGGTCAGGGTCATCGGCAGGGGGGAGGTTCCACTCCTCAATGTAGCCGTCCTTTGTACGCCTCCACGTGGTAGCTGAGGTCGGCTCCCAACTGGCCTCCAGCAGGGTCGCGATGGCCGCGCCTGTGGGTCCCTTGGCCTTGCACCACAGCTTGGGGCCTGCGGCGAGCAAGGTGGTCTTGATCCTTGGCCAGGCCCTGATGATCCTGGCGTGCGTGCTCGGGTGGCGTATCCAGTGCTGAAGCCATGCCTCTATGAACTCGATCCTTAGGGGAACTCCTGGGTCCAAGCCGTCAAAGGTGGCGCCGAGGAGGGAAGTGAGGCATCGGCCCGCTGCTGCGCCCGTGGCCGCAATGGCGGCCTGACGCCGCCATCGTAGTAGAGCGTGCCGAGCGAGGCCGTGCACCTGATGACCGAATACTCCTTCTGGGAGAGCGCCAGTACGCCACAGTCCAACTGAGATTCGGGCCTGCTGTGCTGTGCTCCGTAGTCGGTGTATCTTGCGAAACCTAGCTGTGGCTGAGCTCTGTCGCTTCCTGGCTTTGGCTTGTACACGTCGAGTAGCCGCGGCCGCGTCAACTCCAAGGTCAACGGCCGTGGCGGTCGCAGTAACTGGGATGTCGTACTGTCGCATTTTCTTGGCTAGCGAGTGGCGGACCTTGGGGGTGGAGCCGATGAGGACGGTCTTGTCTGAGATAGGCAGCTCGAACTCCTTTAAACCGTCGCAGAGCGTCTTGGCGGCACGGGGGAGATGCTTCTGTAGAGCACGTAGGGCTCCTTCGACTCGAAGAACAGTGTCGTCTACGAAGGTCCACACCTGGGCAAGCTCTGCCTGAGCTTGGGCTTGCCGAAGAATTGGTAGTAAAATGAGTCGTGCCAATGTGGTGCCGTGAGGGGAGCCTGCAATGATGCCTTTGGAGGCGAAGATAGGCATACTCACCCATTGTCGACTGCGCAAGAATCTGGGCGCCAGGTATAGCTGTACTTCCAGTAATAGAATGATGGGGGAAAGCCGCAGTTGAGGCCGACCATGATGAGGTTGGCGAGCTTGATATTGTCGTAGAACTTCTGGATGTCTAATAGCAAGGTGGCCGACTGTATGCCAAGTGCTGAGGCTGTCTCGTCTAACAAGGCCCTATGTAGGGCGGCTTGGAGAGCTGAGGAGCCTTTGATGGCTGTAGTCCAAAAGTCGTCCAGACCTTGCGTCCAGGCTGCCGATGCAGTCGATCTAATGCGAGACCATAGTCTGGCCATATGAGGTAGCATGCCGAGGACCCTGTCGCCTCCAGACTTCTTGGCGGCGAGAGCTGCAATGGTGCCTGAAATTTGTAGTGGCCAGATGCCCGCTTGCTCTACTGAGTTGAGGATATCTGCATAAGCTTCGACTGCTGGTTCTGGTAGTCGATGGAGGTCGCGAGGTCCTAGGGCGTCAACTCCGTGTGCTTTACTGGGTGGCATGCGGCCGTGAAAGCGGTGTACGATCTCGGCTGTGATGGGCTCGAGCGGTTGATGAGCGGCTGCTGCCTTGGCCTTTGACAGGGCCTGTAGGATGTCGTCAGAGGTCTCGGTGGCTTGCCATACTTGTTGCCATTGTTGCTTCTTGTTGTCCATGATAACGGTGGGGTCGGCGATGGTCAGGTTGGCCGTGTAGGCCTCGATGTGACGTACGGGCGCTGGCTTGACATGGGCGTGTAGTACTCCAGGGCGGTGCTTCCATTGCTGGGCGAGCCAAGCCCCGTAGGCCCTCTTGGACTTGGCGAGGGCGGCCGAGAGAGCTCTGGAGGCCCAGGTAGCGGTAATGGTGACCAAGTCGTCGGTGTCATCCTTGTCCAAGTGCGGGGCCCAGACGAGTGCAAACCAGCGGAAGATGGTGTCCTCATCCTTCTCGAACTGGAGGTCGTGCATGTGAGTGTTGAAGTGGTCCGCGCGCTGCTGGATGATGGAGGCCTGCTGCTGCATGAGCGCTGTGTGCTTGGGCTTGTCGTGAAGCGCGGCGTAGCGCTTGATGAGGGTGAGCGTGATTGCCCACCATTCCGACTGAGGGTCGTGTACGTGTACGCGGCCTGGGGCGGCGGCTGTCTTCTTCCAAGATAACTGGTAGCCTTGGGCTCGGCCTGTGTATGCTGCGGCTTCCTTCGGGTCGATCTGGTGGTGGCTGATCATGGTGTTCTCGAGCGCCGTGACCCATTTGGCGTACTTGAGGTTGAGGTCGCCGGCGTCGCGCACCCAGTGTCTGTACACGAAGTGCGCGTGAGGCTGCTTACAACGTGTGGGTACCGCTTCCTGCCATTGTTCTTCCCACAAGTCCATCGGGATCGCATAGGGGATGGGTTCCTGTGCTGCGGGCTCGTCTTGTGGCTGGAGCTGTGCTGCTGCTTGTTGGAGTTCAGGAGGTAAATCACGTAGACGTGCTGCTCGAGCTTCAGCTGTTTTACGTTTCTTGATGGCGGTCTTGCTGTTGGGGTCTGGCGGGATCCTGGGTCTGTCCACTATGGGGAATGCCTTGGGAGTATCGATCGACTGATACCACCAGGGGTCTGCACTGCCTGCTCGAACTTCAAGGCCAACATGAGTGGCCCAGGGTATGGTGGGGCACTGGCGAATGGAGATCGTGTGCTCGATGCCAGTCTTGACCATTGCGAAATCAAGCGTGAGTCCCTGGCCCTTGTCGCACGTGGCGGATCCAGGTGCTCGCACGATGGTAGCATTCCATTTGGCGAGCCACTCTGTCGCTGCGAGCTGCTCAGGTGTCATATTCCAATCGGCCAGGATGATCCAAGGGTCCGTGAGCATAGTAACGAAGGCTCCCAGCGAAAGTAGCTTATCGTGCACTGCACCCTCGATCTGCCTGTGGGGTTCCAGATACGCTGCAATAACAACTAGGTTGCCAGAGCGTCTGTGCCATACCATGGGCGTGAAGCCGAGGAACGGGTCGGGCCTGCGCTGGGAGATGGCGAGGTCACGGAGGTGGTTGAACGTGGTGGCCTGGACATGGTACCTGGAAAGGATGATCTCGCCACCCGTGTTGCCGCCGTCTGATCTGTTGGTAGGCGTGGCCGTAGTCGATGATATCCTCCAACCGTCCGCTGCTAGCTTGTCGTAGATGAGCGGCGCTTTTCCAGACGAGATGTGTGTTTCAACCAATGCTACCATCTGATATTGTTTGCCTGGCCCTGCCAGCCATTTCTCCGACTGTGGTCCCCACTGAGTAATGTTGGAGAAGAACAGGGAATGGTCTGACAGTGTGGGCTTCGTATGGCATTCGTCTTGGTAGGCGGGTCTGGGGTCGGCTCTCGGGCTGCTGGGCTTCCAGACCATTTCCCTGCGGTCGTGTCGACAGCTTTCGCCATCTCATCGCCCCCTACCAAGGACTGCGTCTTGGGCGGGGCGGCATCAGGGTTTGCCTTTGGAGAAGGCTCCCCTGGTTCCTGTACCACATGCACGTCGACAGCTTGAGCCGTCTCATCGCTCCCTACCGAGGACAGCGTCTCGGGCGGAGCGGCATCAGGGTCGGCGCGCGCTGCACGCTGCGGCTGCCCTGGGTCCCTTGCCACGGGGTCGACGGACTGTGCCGCCTCATCGCCCCCTACCGAGGACAGCGTCTCGGGCGGGGCGGTAGCGTACTGATCTGTGACTGCGAAATCGATGTGGGCGTCCAACTCGGCCAGCTCGTCGAACGGGTCGAGGACTGCGTCCATTGTGTTGATGATAGGTGGGTTGTCGTAGCTCTTGGTCTCTGACGGTAGGCGTCCCGTCTCACCATTCCGTCCAGGGTCGGGTTGTAGGCGGCTAAAGAGGCTGCTGCGCTCCAGCCGCGGCGGTCGCAGTGGGCTTGCGCATCTGGCTGAGCATCTTCTGTGCCTTGTCTTCGAGGTCGGGGTCCTTGTTGAGCGCTGGCACAGGCTGTGTGGCATAGCCGCCGTCTGAAGTAGCGCCAGCAGCAGGTGCGGGAGGCTCATCGCTTGGCGCCGCTGGCGAAGAGGGCGTAGTGCCCTCAGCGTCCGCTGCGGCTGTCGCTGGGGGTTCGCCTGCTGCAGCCGAGGCGGCGGGCGGTGGTCCACCTCCCTCTCTGGCGTGTCCATGCTCGTCAGCGCGCTGACGCTTGGAGGCGAAGCGCGTGCGCATGGTGCTGGCCTCTGCGCGGAGCTGGCTGATGCGGCTGGCGGTGTTGCCGAAGAGCTCCGTGACCTTGGCCTTGAGCTCCGTGGCGAAGCGCTGTTGGAGGGATTCCCATGCCTGGCGGTCGCTGTCGTCGATGTCGAGGCCTTGGAGATCGAACGCCGCACCCGCTTCGATAGAGATGTCGCCGTCCTCGAGGAGGCTGGTGAGGTTGAACGTCGGGTTCTGCTGCGACGGCGTAGGAGTAGCTGTGCCGCCCTTGCGAGCGGCTTGGAGTGCATCGAGAGCCGCTTGGGCCTCGGCCTGGGCTTCTGCCAACTTGTAGGCGGCCTCCTCCGACGCCTGCTTGCGCTCTGTGTACCAGCTGAGCGCCTTTTGCTCGCTCTCGAGCAGCCTCTCCAGGTTGTTCTTGCAGCGGCGCTCCGTAGCCTGGGCGCGGCTGTAGATGTCGTTGAGGTCGGCTGGCTTCTGCGGCTGGGGCGGCGGAATCTGCGACTTGATGCCGTCGATGGCTGCCTTGTCGATGTGGGGGGCGATCGCCTGGAGCTCCGCCAGGATGTCCTCGGCGGAGCGAGCCTTGGGGGTGTCGTTCTTGCTGGCCCACCAGTCGTCCTCTTGGTCCTTGCCGTTGCCCTTGCCGCGGCGGCGGCGGGACTTGGGCCATGATGACCACGGTTCCCAACCTCCCTCGGGGCTGCACTGCTGGGTGCACTTGGACTCAGCCTGGGCTGCGGCTGTGACACGGGCCGCCCAAGCTCCTTGAACCGGAGGCGGGGCATCTGTCCACGGCGCCAAGGCTTTGCCACACAAGTAGCACGTCTGCTTGGTCTTCCAGTTCCAGGCGTACGAGCAGGAGTAGCACTTGACGTAGGCGGTGCGCTGCTGCGGAGGCGCCATGGACGAGCTGAGGAACAGAGAAAGCTCACCTGCGGGCAGCAGGAGGCACACGGAGAGTTGAAAGCTGTCGGGCTCAAGAGCCCTGGCACTGGCCGCGGACTAGCGGTATCCACTTGTTCCCCTGCGGAACTAGGCATCTTGAGCCAAAATGGCTACGGAGGAGGGGGAGGAGGAGGACGAGAAGGAAGGGGAGGAGGAGGAGGAGAAGGAGGAGGACCAGTGTAAACCCAAGACTCATCAAGGATGTTGGGAGAGGCACGAGCGACAGGCGAGCAGGCACAGCACTTGCAGCACACCGCGCGCACTGCATCTCCACTACCTGACGCGGCTCACCGGATACAGTCGGACTTGCTCGGGCAGGATGCGCGAGGGGACACACGACCCTTCCAAGGGCCACACTGCCGTAGGAATGTGGGGGGGCATGGGCCGCGAGACACGGGACACAAGGGTACCCTTGACTTGGCAGGGTCGACCTGCTAATCAAGGCCGACCGTACCAGTTCTGATGATTTCGGCCAGTGCAGCGTCAAAGGGACTCCATAGTGGAAGGACCCCGCGCGCAGTCACCGCCTGTGCCCTGAGCTGCGAGCGCAGCCAGCAGACGCGGCGCAGCTTCTCCGTCCTGATCATATTCCTTTTCCACGCTCCTTTCTGGCCAACGTGGGGGTTCTCCGATCGTAAAGCTGCCGCTGAGTTTGTTGTAGAACTACGAATGGATGCTGGCTATGTTTGCATCCCGAGTTGGCTAGGATGGGCAGCGGATGGAGAGGGAAAGAGATAGAAAGCGAGAGAGAGAGAGAGACAGGGCAATCAAACAACGAATGAAGGAGAAATGCAGTGGTGTGTATAGCGAGAGAGAGAGAGAGAGAGAAAGAGAGAGAGATCGGCTGACAATGTGAGAGTAGAGGTACGTAATGAGAAATATGCTTCACACATCAAGAAGTAAGAAACCCTGACCTGAAACGGCCGAACAAATCAGACTTGCGAGATCACACCAAAGACGTGGCACTCTCGGAGGCGACATGTTATGCTAGGCCAGCGGCATCACCATATATGGTGGGCATGCTGAGAGCCAGGACGGAGAGGAAGAGCATGGCTGAAAGTGGAGTTCGTGTTTGCTCTTTCGGAGCTGCGGGTAAATCCCCGCATAGTCTGGCCACGTCATGCTACCGATGAAGAAAACTAGCCTGGCGAAGGACCGAACAATATGCAGTTGAGAATGCTGCAGTTGTGAGCATCATCTTCGGTGGAGCTTCCTATGGGGCCACGAGGCGTGTGAAGGGTGTGCTGACATGGGTGTAGCGGGGGGGGCGCATGCAACCTCCGCCACTGGGGCCTTCGGTTCCGCTCCCCATGGGACCACGAAACGCGTGAGGGGTGTGCCGAAATGGGCGGGGGGGACGCATGCGAGCACCGCCACTGGGGCCTTCGGTGAAGCCCCCTATGGGGCCACGAAACGTGTGAGGGGTGCACCGACATGGGCGGGGGACGCATGTGGCCACCGGGCTTTCGGTGGGGCACCCCATGGGGCCACGAAACGTGTGAGGGGTGTGCCGAGATGAATGGCGCTCCCTATGGGACCACGAAATGTGTCATGGGTGTGCCGGAATCGGCGGGTGGGACCCGTGTAACCACCGCCACTGGGGCCTTCTGTCGACTCCCCTATGAGGCCATGAAAAGTGTGAGGGGTGTCCCAAATGGGTGGGGGGGCACGCGTGTGGCCAGTGTCACAGGGGCCTTCGGTGGAGCTAGCTGTGGGGCCACCAGACGTGCGAGGAATGTGCCGAAATGGGTGGGGGGGGCGCATGTGGCCATTGGTGTTGGAGCCTTTGGTAGAGCTCCCTTTGGAGCCACGCAGCGTGTGGGGTGTGCCAACATGGGGAGGGGGAAGCATGTGGCCACTGCCACTGGGGCCTTCGGTAGATGTCCCTGTGGGGCCACGAAGCGCGTGAGGGGTGTGCCGAACTTGGTGGGGGGAGGCGTGTGGCCACAGCCACTGGAGCCTTCGGTGGAGCTCCCTCTGAGGCCACGAAACGTGTGAGGGGTGTCCCGACGTGGGTGGGGAGACGGATCTTTCGATGGGGCTCTCTTTGGGGCCACGAAGCGTGTGAGGGGTGTGCCGAGATGGGTTTCAAGGACGCCTGCGGCCACTGCCTTCACTGTGGCCTTCGGTGGAACTCCACATGGGGCCACGAACCGTGTGAGGAGCAGATACCGACATGGACATGCAGAGGGCAGGTCCAAGAATGGGAGACGGGGGGAGAGGAGGAGGAGGAGGAGGAGGAGGAGGAGGAGGAGGAGGAGGAGGAGGAGGAGGAGAGAGGAGGAGGAGGAGGAGGAGGAGGAGGAGGAGGAGGAGGAGGAGGAGGGAGGAGGAGGAGGAGGAGGAGGAGGAGGAGGAGGAGGGAGGAGGAGGAGGAGGAGGAGGAGGAGGAGGAGGAGGAGGAGGAGAGGAGGAGGAGGAGGAGGAGAGGAGGAGGAGGAGGAGGAGGAGGAGGAGGAGGAGGGAGGAGGAGGAGGGAGGAGAGAGGAGGAGAGGAGGAGGCGGGAGGAGGAGGAGGAGGAGGAGGAGGAGGAGGAGGAAGAGGAGGAGGAGAGGAGAGGGGAGGAGAGAACGGGGCATTGCCTCTTCAAAACGAAGACCCCACACCCCAGGATGGTTGGGAAAAAACACATTCCGTTTCCCTGAGTACACGTGACGTAAGGTAGCAGTGGGTCGTACCAGAAGCAGAAAGGACACACTCGCAAGGCAATGAGTTACTGATGATGTTGCATACTGTGGCCAGCCCACAAAGACAAGGACATGGTGGCCCCACAAGAACTCACACGTGAGATGTACTTACAAATTGTCGGATTGTGCAACAAGTGGATGTGAGCGTTAACAGGTGCGAAGACAAGCGAAGACTACTGCTTGTCCAACATATCGAAACGGGTGGTCAACGCGGCAACCCAACGCGATGACGACGACCAGGACAAAGTCGCCGTCCTATTTCCGCGTACGCGCCGTCCTTGTGGAACTCCTGCTTCTTGCTGCGAGATTTGTTGTAATTGGTAGCGGCTGCCTTGACACTTGCAAGCCTATCCAACTGTGTTCGCATATGTTGGGCACTGCCTCCTGGCTGACCACAACAGTCTGGGAGCACGGTGCACATAACGAGCACCGAACTTTACAAATCAAGGCTCCCCCTCTAGATTTCGCCGGCCCCCTAGCGGTACTGGCGTCTGACTTGCTCGCTTCGCTCCAAACCCCACTCTTGGGGAGTCGATATGACCAGTCCAGAAAAGAGAGGCTGGCCAGTGCTACAATTGCCCTGTGCGTCCAAAACGCTCGAAGAAGGCCGTACTAGGATGTCGTCAAGGTACCCCGAGGGGGGCTAACGATCCCCAAAAGAGCCCAACTTGAAGCGCCAAGACGCGCGTATGCAATAGGTACCAACACAGAAACTCAAAGAGGCTCTAGACACCCCCGTCCACATCCCGCACGTGCGGAGCGGCATTCAAACGGAGGCATGGCAACGTGGCAGAAGGGCTTCTCCGTCGTCGTAGGTATGCTCACGAGGGCCCACAGGAATGCCAAAGAGGGCCCACAGACGGCAAAAGAGGGCACACAAGAATGCCAAAAAGTCCACCGAGATAGCCTAAGCCTGCCCCAACATGTCCCAAGACGCACCAGGACAGCCCAAGATGGCCCCGAGAGGTCCCCCAAACGCCCCCAAGAGAGCCCCAGCCCCCACACCGGACAGGCCAAGCAGCACCTGAGAGGGCCCAAGGATGCCCCAACTCGTCAATCTGCGGGGGGCCCGCGCGAGTGGGCGACTTGTCGCCCTCGCCCAGGCTCCGTGAGCATTACGCTCGAAAGCGGTGTTCCCGCGCGGGCGCGGCGCATGGCTCCGTCGCCAAATCGCATCCAAGCGACAGCGGCAGCTGGGCCGCGAGAGAGCGGACGAAATGCCGACCTCGCCCAGGCGCCGCGCAGCTTGTGGATGAGAGCGGCAGCGCTGTGCCAGCGCGAAGCACGCTCCGTCTTCGCCTCGCCCCTTCGCTCCTGCGCGGCCCGCGTCATGCTCCTTTCGCCGAATCGTCGGAAGCGGGGCCGCGCGCGAGCGCCTTCCGTTTGGGAGGTGGGGAAGCGCTCCAGGAGCAAAAGCAGGTTGTGCTTCATGTGACGTTGTGTGGTGGGAGGGGGGAGGGGGGAATAGGCGGGGCCATCTGACTCGCTCGACATGGCTAACTTGACTCCTCCTCCTCCTACCCCTCCTCCTCCTCAGGACTGAAGGCATAGGTTTCGATGGCACGACAGTGCATGGCCTTCTCCTCCTCCTGCCGCGCTCGTCTCCTCCAACTCCTCGTCTTCCTCGCCCTCCTCTTCCTTCTCCTCCTCCTCCTCATCCTCCTCCTCCTCCTCCCTCCTTCGTTCGTCTCCTCCTCTCTTCTCCTTTCCTCCTCCTCCTGCTCCTCCTGCTCCTCCTGCTCCTCCTTCTCCTCCTCCTCCTCCTCATCCTCTTCCGAGTCCAGTGGGTGCGTCAAGCCCGCCTGTGCAAAAAGGATACACTGGCTTCTCCTTGGACTGCCCAACCTCTTGTTTCTCTTCCCTCGTGCCCCTTTCTCTTCCTGACCGAGCCCGCTAATCAACAAGCCAGCTATCAAACCAGCCAGTCAACCTGCCAACCAGCCACCCTGCCAACCAGACAGCCAGAAGACCAGCCAGCCAGCCGAGACGCCGACCTCCCGACGAATCAGCCTACCAGACAACCGGCCCTACCACCCCTGCCATGCAGACAATCAAAAGGAAGAACTGCGGCTGAGGGCGAGGCTGTTCATACACAAACACAGACGGTGCTGCTCGCCCGAGACCAGGCCACACATGAGCGACTTGAAGCAGACTCGCGTGGGCGGAGAACCCTCGCTCCGATCAAGGGGTCGGCAGATGTGGCGTCAGCCCACAGGCATCGGCTGCATGTTGCCTCGCCCTGCAGCCTCTTCAAGGGCGTCCGCAGCACGGTTCTACTGCCGCGTTTCGCATCTGGCGCCGCCCTCGCTCGAGGATGAGAGGAGGAGGGCCCACCCCTCTCTCAAACTGCACGCAGCATCTAGCAGCCAAGGCTTCGAGGTAGACAGAACCCCAGGGGCGGAAGGACCCACAATCCCCCACACCTCCGGAAACAACTCAAGAACGAGACGGCGATCCTCTTGCCTTTGACGAGACCGCCCGCGAGGCAGGCGCAGCCCATGACTAGGAGCAAGTTGCTGAGTATGGAGCCTCCGTCCGGAGCGGGGGCACAGAACACTGCGGAAGCCACCCGTGCGCCCGTCCCGCGCAGATCGAAACACTGGGCGAGGTGCGCCGAGTACGGAGACCATGGTGGTAGGCGGTGGACCAACGCCCAGAGATGTGTGCGCTCAGGCGAGTGCGATCTTGCGCACAGAGCATACGACATGGAAGCGCGCATCAAACTGCACGGTGCGATGACCACGTCCAGTGACCAGCGACATACCTGGCCAGCTCAGAGAAGGAGGTGCCGATCATCTATACATGCGATGGTGTGCGCTCAAGTGTTCCAAACACGACATGATAACTTGTGAGGTGTCGTGAACGCTTGAAGGAAATATGGCGGGATGAGGTATGCGGTCCAGATGAAGGAAGAGGAGGTACACCATGACAAGATAGGGAAGAGAGAGGAGCAAGGAAAAACAAGGGGCCAAGCAGGGGTGAGGAGGATGGTGACGAGGAAGACGATGAGGACCAGGAGCAGGAGCAGGCGAACGAGGATACTGGTAATGAAGACAGTGATGCTGACAACGCTAACGAAAGCGGATACGCTAAAAGAAGACAATTGAGGAGGATGAGGAAGAGGAGGAAGAGGACCAGTGTAAACCCAAGAGTCACCAACGATGTTGGAATAAACACTCCCCCCCAGCTCCCTTTTTCATAGGCCCCTACAACGGCTCATTTCCACAGAGGGACCTTCGTTGGAAGACAACCGCTTGAAGACCTTGAAGCATGCCAAAACATTGCTCTCGGTATTCCAACGCCACGGATGAACCTGACCGTTGTGTCTTGAGGGTCCTGAATCGTGCCAAAACTTCAACAGCGCGAATCATCGTAACTGTTGCGCCCGCATAAACGCGGATCCTTCCAAAACCCCATTTCTGGTACGTCGGCCATGCAAATCCGTGAAACGCTTGAATCCGTGAAACGCTTGCAATGTTTAAAACGAATGTGCGCGGCGCTAAGGCGAGAACCACATTTTGAAAACCGCCCGCCCTCAATCCGTGAAGTTCTTGCAAATCTTGAAAGCGAATGATGTGCGCGGCGAGAGCCACATGTTGAAAGCCACCCGCCCTCAATCCGTGAAGCTGGCAAATTTTGAAAAAGAATGATGTGCGCAGCGCTAAGGCGAAAGCCACATTTTGAAAACGACCCGCCCCGAATCAGTAAAACTCTTGCGAATTCTTGAAAAGAAAACGGGCGGCGCTAGAGCGAGAACCACATTTTGAGAACCACCCGCCCTCAATCCGTGAAGCTCTTGCAAATGTTGACTAGAACCACGCGCGCGCTTCGCGCGCGCTTAGGTTCTGTCGAGTCACAGACCCAGGAATCGTTGTGAGAAGAAGTTGGTGACGCGAAGCGTCGTGGGGGCGTCCTTGGACGTCTGGGGTCTCCTGGGGCCTCTTGAGGGGCCTCCTGGGGGCCTCCTGGCGGCCTCTTGGGGCGGAAGGCTCGAGCTTGCGGTTCGTGGTCCCCCTCTGGGCCCCCTCTTGGGCCCGTCTTGGGGCCCTCTTGGGCCATCTTGGGCGCCTCTTGGGCCGTCTTGGGGCCCTCTTGGGCTGTCCTGGGGCCCTCTTGGAAGCTTCTTGGGCCGTCTTGGGGCGGTCTTGGGCGCCTCTTGGGCCGTCCTGTAACGTCGGAAAGCCCAAAAGGCGACTTTGTTGAACATGTACGTTTTACGAAGGGAATGGGCCAACTTTTGCGTCTGGGGGCCCTCTTGGGACGCATGTTGGAGGCTTCTTGGGGCGTCTTGGGGGCGTCCTTGGACGTCTGGGGTCTCCTGGGGCCTCTTGAGGGGCCTCCTGGGGGCCTCCTGGCGGCCTCTTGGGGCGGAAGGCTCGAGCTTGCGGTTCGTGGTCCCCCTCTGGGCCCCCTCTTGGGCCCGTCTTGGGGCCCTCTTGGGCCATCTTGGGCGCCTCTTGGGCCGTCTTGGGGCCCTCTTGGGCTGTCCTGGGGCCCTCTTGGAAGCTTCTTGGGCCGTCTTGGGGCGGTCTTGGGCGCCTCTTGGGCCGTCCTGTAACGTCGGAAAGCCCAAAAGACAACTTTGTTGAAAATGTACGTTTTACGAAGGGAATGGGCCAACTTTTGCGTCTAGGGGCCCTCTTGGGACGCATGTTGGAGGCTTCTTGGGGCCTCTTGGGGGCGTCCTTGGACGTCTGGGGTCTCCTGGGGCCTCTTGAGGGGCCTCCTGGGGGCCTCCTGGCGGCCTCTTGGGGCGGAAGGCTCGAGCTTGCGGTTCGTGGTCCCCCTCTGGGCCCCCTCTTGGGCCCGTCTTGGGGCCCTCTTGGGCCATCTTGGGCGCCTCTTGGGCCGTCTTGGGGCCCTCTTGGGCTGTCCTGGGGCCCTCTTGGAAGCTTCTTGGGCCGTCTTGGGGCGGTCTTGGGCGCCTCTTGGGCCGTCCTGTAACGTCGGAAAGCCCAAAAGACAACTTTGTTGAAAATGTACGTTTCACGAAGGGAATGGGCCAACTTTTGCGTCTAGGGGCCCTCTTGGGACGCATGTTGGAGGCTTCTTGGGGCCTCTTGGGGGCGTCCTTGGACGTCTGGGGTCTCCTGGGGCCTCTTGAGGGGCCTCCTGGGGGCCTCCTGGCGGCCTCTTGGGGCGGAAGGCTCGAGCTTGCGGTTCGTGGTCACCCTCTGGGCCCCCTCTCGGGCCCGTCTTGGGGCCCTCTTGGGCCATCTTGGGCGCCTCTTGGGCCGTCTTGGGGCCCTCTTGGGCTGTCCTGGGGGCTTCTTGGGCCGTCTTGGGGCGGTCTTGGGCGCCTCGTGGGCCGTCCTGTAACGTCGGAAAGCCCAAAAAGCAACTTTGTTGAAAAATGTACGTTTTACGAAGGGAATGGGCCAATTTTTGCGTCTAGGGGCCCTCTTGGGACGCATGTTGGAGGCTTCTTGGGGCCTCTTGGGGGCGTCCTTGGACGTCTGGAGGCCATCTTCAGCATCTCGGAGCCCTCTTGGAGGCCTCTTGGAAGTTTCTTGGGCCGTCTTGGGCGCTCCTGGGGCCGTCTTGTCTGACCGGGGAGGCCTCCGGCAAGCCCCGACGAGCCTCCGGGCCCCCCGGGGCGCACATTTGTGGTCGAGGTCCCGGCCCCGGGCCCCCGGACCCGGTGCGCCGTTATATGTATATAATTTGCGCAACGCTAAGGAGAGAGCCACATGTTGAAAATCACCCGCCCTCATTCCGTGAAGCTTTGCAAATTTTGGAAACGAATGATGTGCGCGGGGCTAAGGCGAGAGCCACATTTTGAGAACCACCCGCACTCAATGTGTGAAGCTATTGCAATTTTGAAAACGAATGTGCGCGGCGCTAAAGCGAGAGCCACATTTTGAAAACGACCCGCCCTCCATCTGTGAAACGGTTGCCAATAGTTTAGCTTCAGGGTCACACGTGGTGAGGAAGTCTCAGGCGAAACGCCCGGCCCGCCCTAAAAACTAGCCTCGGGGTGCGACAGAGAGAAAGTATTGAAGAAGAAGGAATGGAGGAGGCCGGGGATGAATACGAGAAGACCCTGAGAAAAACGAGGAATAGGATAAGGATAGCGAGGCAGGAGGCGAAGAAAATGACGGCGACGGCGATGTGACGGAACATGAGGACGAGCAGGACGAAGAGGGCCACGAGGAGGACGAGGAACGGATGGGGAGGAATACGTACGAGGATAATGACGAGGCACCGACCAGAGACGACGACAAGGAGAGCGATGAAAAGCCCGAGGGGGGCAAGAAGGAGCGTCGGACATGTAGGACGGATGAGAAGGATGAACAAGACACCCTCGAGGACGACGCGCGGGACAATGACGAGGAGACGGCCGGGAAGGATGAGGGGAGAGCATGGAGGACAAGGGGCCGAGGAGGGAAGGGGAGGACAAGAGGCGAGGGAATGGGAGGATGAGGAGGGAAAGGGAAGACGACGACTACTACGACGACGACGACGAGGGAGGCGACGACGAGGGAGAGGATGGCTGGAACAGGGGCGAGGATGACGAGGACGAGGAATAATGAGAGGATGACAAGGAACAGGACGGCGGGTGGGCACGAGGAAAGCCAGCGGGACGAGATGTGAGAGGAGGGAGACGAGGAGGGAGAGGAGGCCCCTCCTCTCGTTCACTAACTGTATTCATTCATTCAATATGTCCTTCCTTGTCCTTCCTCTTTCTCCTCCTGGCTCCTCCTCCTCCTTCTCCTCCTCCTCCTCCTCCGCCGCCTCCTCCATTCCTTGTTCTCATGAACAGTTCCTCCCTGAGTCACCCCCAGACGTGTCGCTGGGGCGGGCCGGGCGTTCCGCTTGAGACTTCCTCACCGTCTATGATCCTTGATGGAGAGCGAAACCTTTTCAAAATGTGGATTTCGCCTTAGCGCCGCGCACGCTCGTCTTGAAAAATTACGAAACTTGCACTGTGGAGGGCGGGTCGTTTTCAAAATGTGACTCTCGCCTCAGCGCCGCGCGCATTCGTCTTTATTCCCTACCTAGGCTCTGCCTAGAAGGGTTCTTACCGTGTGTGCTTAAAGGGCCGGGCAGTGCAAATCGCCCCGGGCGGTTCCCCCAGTATCCGCCCCGCGGTTCCCCCAGTGACGGCCCCTTCGCTTAGCGTTGCTTATCTCATCTGATCTTAGCTTATCTCATCCTAGCTTAGCTTAGCTTCATCTTAGCTCAGGTTTACATTAGCTTAGCTTACCTTCATCTTAGCTTCGCTGAGCTTTAGCAAAGCAGAGCACAGCATAGCATAGCATATCGTAGCACATCATAGCACAGCACAACATAACATAGCAAAGCCCAGCATAGCATAGCATAGCGCAGCATAGCATAGCATAGCTATCTTAGCTTAGCTTGGGTGTAAATCCCTACCTAGGCTCTGCCCAGAGGGTTAGCTTAGCTTAGCTTAGCTTCGCTTAGCATAGCGCAGCGCTGCATTAGCATAGCATAGTATAGCATAACATAGCCCATCATAGCATAGCATAGCATAGCGCAGCATAGCATAATATAGGCTAGCATAGCAT